CTCTCTCTCTCTCTCTCTCTCTCTCTCTCTCTCTCTCTCTCTCTCTCTCTCTCTCTCTCTCTCTCTCTCTCTCTCCCGTGCGCGCGCGCGCGCGCACGCACATGTGAGACTGCATAGGAGTGGATATGGAGGGCGGAGTAAGAGAATGCAGACATGAGAGGCAAGGAGAAGAAGAAGATACTCCCCTCGCACTCTCTCTCCTCACATTAGGTATTGGCTGGCGAAAGATGCAGTCTTGAGTCGTCCTCTGATGTCTGCAGGTGGTGAGGGCCTGATGCCCAGCTAGGGAGATATGGCCTTCAACTTAGGCCTGGATTCCACTGCCCCGTGGCTGGAAACTGATGTTGGCAACAAAAAAAGACCAAGTGTGGTTGGAAAGAAGTTGTCGCGTTTCCTTGGGACCCCACTGCAGCCTTTGACTTTCGGCACTGCGAACGGATGGACATGCCCGAAACGAAAATCCACCCGGTCTGTTTCCCGAAAAGGCAAGTAGGCCCAGGGATGTGGTCAAGGCCCTTCTATCGGCGTGCACCAGGACATGTCTGTGTGTGGCCGTGCGGGACATGGTGTGGCGGGTGCCGCACAGGTACCGTGCACATCACAACGGCCTCACAAGGTCCGCTCGGCTGCCGCGGCGCGACTGTGCAAATGACCGTTGGGAACATCGGCGGAGTTCCCACCCCCCCACCCCTCTCCCGCACTCCTGCAGTCGTTTACAGTTCGACCCGGTGATGCGGACCACCCCGAGTGGGAGCGCATGTACGAAGCAGTGACGGGTAGTCGACGAAGGCGGAAGGATTGGCGAGGAGTATGGGTAGTCGAGAGTGGTGCGCTCGTGAAGTGGCCGCGACAGCTGGTGTGCAAGGGTCGATGCAGTTCCCATCAGATTCACAGCGTGGCCATGTGTCCATCGGATGTGGCCAGTGCGGAGGACGAGTGGGGAGACATGACGTTCATGCTCATTCTCCTCATTACCCAGTGGGTGAACAGGCACAACTCTGTGGCCATGGTCGTTCTTGAAGCTGTGCCATCACCCCGTTCATGTTCCGAGATGTGTCGGGGGCGCTCACGATGCTTGCAGGGGGGGTGGTTCACGGCATGGACTTGAGCTGGTTGGCAGAGCAGGAGTTGGGAAGACACATGAGGTTTCGGAGGAGGCGTTTGTGGATGGTGGAGCATAGAAGAGGTTTGTGGAAGGACCTGCAAAGGGTGGGTTTGGAGCACGATAAGGTGTTCGTGCGGTTCTGCAGATTACCGCGACCACTTTTTTTGCAAGTTCTTCAGTGCATCGGCCCCCATATCCAGCGTTCGCCTACTAATTTTTGGTTTCCCATACCGGTCGGCCAGAAGTTTGCTTGCGCACTCATCCGGTGGGCAACAGGCGGGTACTACCGGCAATCCGCCCACAGTTTGGGTATGGGCCTTGCGATTGCATTGAGGATCAACGAGGACGTCGCAGATGCTATCCTCCAGGAGTACGGCTACCTCCTCCAATTCCCTACAGGGCGGCGTTTGGAAGAAGTCCAGAATGCTTTCGAGGCGAAGGGGTTCCCCGGATGCGTGGGGGCCATCGACTGCACACACGTGTATATCGATAAGCCGAAGCGGACGTGGTCAGAGTGCTATTATCATCACATTGGAGACTTCTCAATCGTCGCGCAGGCCGTGTGTGACAACGAGCGCAGAATTGTCAGTGTGTATGTCGGTTGCCCTGGGTCGCTGCACGAGTCCCGTGTGTTGCGGATGTTGCCATTATATCACAACACCATGGCAGGCAGAGGTGTGTTATGCGAGGGTGGAACTATCATGCACGATGGAAGACATGTTGGTCGTTACGTGCTTGGAGACGCCAGCTACCCTTTTCTCCTGTGGATCATGACACCTATGGCCCTATGGGTAGATTCGCGAGAACTGATGCAGATTGTTTTTTTTTTTACTTCTTCCTTGGAACCCCCTCTTTTCAAAACCTCTAGCGTGAGCCGACATACAACAAAAGAGGGGGCATCCAGCAAGTGGCAGCAACAACACCAAAACCGGATCATAGATGAGACGTCCCACATGCAAGCACTGCCCCTCCTCCACAGGCCAAAAGACGGGACAAGACTTTCAACGACAAAAATCTTGTCCACAAACAAAACTGAATACAGGAGGTGACCTTGTTCAAGTGGGTATTCCCTTTCGTTGACCATTCATGCTGTCATTGGGCGAACAACAAAAAAAAACGTCGTTGAGTGGTCCCACATGACATCACCGCCGCGCTCGGCAAAGTACATCGAACTTGGGACAAAACCAACGGGGATGCAGACGAGGGTGCCAAAAAAAACATGCATGGTAACACAAATGAACCTGAACGGTTACACTCCATAGTCGGTACACTCCATACCCAACAAATTATATGCTCACACGGAGAGAGAGAGAGAGAGAGAGAGAGAGAGAGAGAGAGAGAGAG